AGATGGGGCTTTTCAGAGGTGGCTGAATCTAGAGTGTGATGCTGGGAATAAGGGTGTGCGATTACTAGATCAGTACAGTGATACACTGATTGGTTTGGGATCACTCTAACCCCGGTAGTCTGGATAAGATAAAAGGGGTAGAAAGATGTTGTTCAGGTTCCCTTGTTGCTTTTGCTACCCTGTGGGTGCCATGAACTGTTTCTCCTCTGTAATACCCCTCTGCCATGTGCCACTCTGACTTGGAGCCAGATGATTATGGACTGGAACCTCTATAAGCTGTGAGCTAAACAAACCTTTCCCCTTTAACTCTGGGTGTTGGGTATGTTGTCTCAGCAATGAGAGAAAAGTAACTCACATAGTACAGTGTGATTTTCATAGTTATTGAGGACTTAGACTCAGAATCCTTTCTTCACAAGATAGTTTAGCTGGAGCCCAATAAATGTCTAATACAGTTGAAGCTAGGGAAAAGGTGGCAGCTTGTGATCATCAGTCTTGATATGTCATTTTAGCTGGATTAAGAAGCACCTTGCAGGGCCAGGGATTTAGCTCAATGGTTCTGCCACCTGCCTCGCAAGGCTAAGGTTCCGAGTTCAATCCCTGGTGCCAAAAAAAACAAAAACAAAAACAAAACACCTTGCCGATTAGCAAACCACACTTTTGGGCATGTCAGGGTGGGTCGTGGAGACATGACCTTGGCTAGTGGATGTGGGCTCTGACCTATTTTCTCTTGGGTCCTATTCCTCTGCTGCATTTCTTGGCTGCCATGAGCTAAGCATGCTTGCTCTGCCACACCTTTCTGCTATTATGTTTCTGCCTTGGACCCAGCCTACCTGGACTGAATCCCTTGAAAACATGAGCCAAATTAAACTCCTCCTTTAAGCTGTGGGTATCAGGCATTATATTCCAGAGATGGGAAAGCCAGCATATAACTTCAGTCACTGCTCCTTCTATGGCCTTTGTGGGGTTCTTAGCAGTCCTCACTAATTCTCAGAGCACAGGTTGAAAAATTAGCAAATAGACAATAAAGAGGCTAAATGTCCATGTTAAGGTGCAGAAAATGAGAGCTGAAGAAATAATTACTAAGTATTATGTATAGCTGTTGCTTCTTCAGGAATTGCTGTTCCTCCTAAGGAACTTGGAGGCTAGTTGGGGAGACAGTGGAGGAACTGGGTGCCGTGTGCCATGTCATCAACTGGTAAGAACCAGGCAAGCTGCAAGCTGGGAAAAGTGTGCAAATGGGGAAAATGTGGCCCTAATTGGGTTTAGAGGTTGGAGGGGATACTCGATTGGAGATTTCCTTAGGAGTAAGATGTAGCGGGTAAACAAAGGGAGTGGAGGTGGGAAGCATATACATGGACTGGGAAAGGCTGCAAAGGAGCCATGACCCCTGAAGGAACTATTGAGCAGTGGGTGTGGCTGAGTATGGGAGGATGTGGCAGAATATGAAGCTAGAGGGTTTATATGAGGCCAGTGTGTGGAGAGCCTGTGGTACTGCTGGCTTGAATTTTATCCTTGAGGAAAGAAGAATCACTCAAAAGCACATCTGTTCCCTGTACCATCAACTGTGTATCACCAACCCTGTATCATGGTTGACTGTAGATTGCATGATCTAATTAGCCAGAATCCAGCTGTGAAACTTGGAGCATATGTCACTTCCGTGCTTCTGCCTCAGCTTCCTTACCCATACAATGAGATATTACTAGTATCTACTTCACAGGGCTAGAGTTAAGGTTAAATGAAGAAAGAGTGCTATACACTTGATATTATTGTTAAAGCAAATTTCTCTTTCTTTCCTTCCTTCCTTTCTTCCTTCCTTCCTTCCTTCCTTCCTTCCTTCTTTCTGAGGATTGAACCCAGGGTCTTTGCATCAAGCTGCCTCCTCAGCTCTTTTTATTTTTAAATTTTGAGACAGGGTGTCATTAAGTTGCTAAGTTTCCCAGGCTGGGCTCAAACCTGTGATCCTCCTACTTCAGCCTCCCAGAGTACTGGGATTGATTACAAGTATGTGGCACCACATCCAGCTTCTTTCTGCTTCATACACTACCTCGTTTCCAGTGACAAAAATCATGTAGAAAACACTTTGAATGTTGTTTTAGAAATGAGCATTTTGGTCTAGAAACACATTAAGGAAAGTTATCCTTTTAACTTTCATTTTGCCCTTTTACAGAATTTGAGCAAACAAGGAGTAATTGAAAAATACAGTAAATGTTTAAATATTTGTTTATTTATTTATTTAGTACCAGGGATCGAACTCAGGTCCTTGAGCTTGCAAGGCAGGTGGCAGAACCACTAAGCTAAATCCCCGGCCCATAAATTTTTTAAAAATATTAAAATTTTAAAAACCGCATTGCCATCAATCTCCCTCAAAGTATTCCTTCTCACTTCAAACACACTTATTCCATTGTTCTTGCTAGTTTCTGAATAAGTTCTGAAAGTCCTCTTTTGTGTCTTTAGGAGGTGTGATCAGAAACACATGAATGGTGCTGCTGAGTAGCAGCCAATGGGAAAGCAGGCTTTAACAACATTCTGGTCTATCCCGATCCACCTTATTTACCACTGACATCCACTGCAACTTCTAACTCTTCCCAAAAGTCAAAATAACCACGAAAAGTAAATATTGAATCGATTCAGTACATCAACACAATAGCCACTACAATCACAACAGTGTAACTAAAGACACAAAGGAGGGCTGGAAACTGGATAAAGAAGATGTGTTTTTTATAAAATGGAGTACTGCTCAGCCATAAAGAATGACAAACTAGAGACATTTACAGCTAAGTGGATGCACATTGAGGCCATACTCTTAAGTGAAATAAGTAGGACGCACATGTGTAAATACCGAATAGTTTCTCTGTTGTGAGAAACTGAAAGTGTAAATAAGGATTAAAATGATTAAAATGAATAATTGATAATTTGAAATAGGAAGAAAAGGTCCAAAGAGTTAGGGGAAGTGGAAGGGGAAGGGGAAAAGAAAGAAGGGAAAGGAAAAATTATGAGAAAAGGAAAAAATGGAAACAAAAAATCTTTGTAAATAGGGAAGGATGGAGGGGTTGAAGAGAGCATAGGGAATGGGGAAAAAATAAGAACTAAGATACATCATGTACAGGTACAAGCACCCAATGATAAATGTAAATGTATTGTATACCTAAAATGTACCAATAAAAGAATTTAAGGAAAAACAAAGACACAAAGGAGGACTTCCAGAACTGCTTCAGAAAGTGGCAGCAATGATGGGATAAGTGTGTTTGAAGTAAGAGGGGAATATCTGAGTGGGATTAATGATAATGTGTATTTTACTGTAATAAATTTTAAAAATGTAAACATTCACCGTATTTTTCTGTCACACTTTGTACTCAGGTTAAGCAAATACCTCTGAGGTTACTTTTTGGAAGTAGATGGCACAATAATGAGGTGGGGGCTGAACCTCCCCTTAAATTAGGACAAGCAATTGGAGCATTTTAGTTTACCTACATGTCATTTAATGTGCATAGATTTTAAAATTATTATTCTGATTTTCAGGGCGAGGAGGCTGATACATAATCCATATTCATTGATGGGCAATTTTTGATGCAGATCCCCTGATTCCACATCCTGTGCTCTTTCCACTCCCCCCATTGGGTAGGAATTAAATGGAGAAGCTCAATTTTCCTTCGAGGTCATGGAGGCAGGAACTGGCCGCTCACTGCATTCCTTATTGGAGAACTGAGGGAAATGCTGGCCAGTGGGAAGCTTCTTTTTGTACATTTCCTAAACCCAAGTGTGAAGATGGATGAAATACAGCCTAATTTATTGTCTAAAATTCAGCAAGTTTCCAGTTAACACCATAAGTTGCCTTGAATTTTTCAAATGTGTAGATGGCTGGTGGGTTGGATGAAGTGGCCTTAGGGTTTTTAAAATAACTTCCTCTCTTTCTACTCTTATCTATTCATTTTCAACCTTCCTAATCCTGTATCATCTGTCATTTGTTTTGTGTATAACCACATCTATCCCTTTTTAATACTTTATGTATAAATTCCTAGGATACTGACTAAAGTGAAAAGGGAGAGAACACAGTGGGAGAAATGCAACGGTGCTAGGGGAAGCTTGTAAATCATCATGGGGAAACTTAAAAGATTCTGCAGGTGCTCTAGTGTATTTGCATCCAGAAAAATACTCGGGAGGAAAAAGCAGCAATTTCCTGCTGAGCTGATTGTTCTAAGACAAAGCATCTCTTTAACTTCATACTTTCTATTTTTCTTTGGAACATTCTTCTTTCTCCACTTCTTCCCTTCTTTTACCCCCTATTTTCTATCTTGGATATTGAGGTTTTTTTCCTCAAGTGTATTTATTTCAATAAAAGAAGCCAAGACCTAACAAACAGCTATGAAAGAAATAAAACTACTTAAGAAGAAAAAACCACACTCACTTCTTAGAGGAAATAGTGATTGGTTTCCCTTGGGGAAATTAGAGACAAAATAAAAATCACATCCACTTCTTTGCAAAGTTGCAGATCAAGGTTATGTTGCTACTTACAGATAATTTGGAAGCAACATGAGGGCTTGAAAAAGGAACCCTTCCTTCATGGGTGAAATTTAGACTATCCCCTTTTATCATAATTATTGACAGATTTAGATTGAAGTGATTGTGGAACGCATTGTCCTTAAAAATATTCAGGGACGTGACCACGATGAAAATGATGGAAAACAGTGCAGTTCATCATCGCAGCCCCTGAAATGGCTGAGATATGCAAAAGTACTGGTTTGATCCAAAAGGCATAAATAGCACTTGAAGCGGGGAGGCTGAGCTGGGCTTGCAGACTGCTGTGTTTGAAGAACAATTTGACAGAGACAGAGCAAGATGATGATAACATGGAGAAAGGATAATTTGTCATGATTACCTCTTCCCCTCCTCCTCCCTAGAGAGAATAGTTTGCACCCACTGGAATTCATGCGTAAGGGGGGGAAAAAGCAAATTGGCACTGTAACAAAGAAAACATATCATTTTATCTTTTCCTTCTCCAGGTCAACATTTTGTGTGCACAGTGACATCAGATTGTGAAGGTTCTACTAACGAGCTGTGGCATGTTGATCGGCTTCCTTCGAGGTTTTAGATATTTTAATTTGAGCAGCTTCTTCCTTAGGAAGTGCTGCTCCTGACTGCAAGCCTTCAGGTTTATTACCACCCATGCAGAGTCATTACACAATGTAGTCTCCTCTACCAATTTGCTACAAATTCATCTGTTCCCTATATGCAAAGGGTGCTACCTGCTGTCATTGGTTTGAAGATAAATCTTAAAATTTTTGCAGCAAAAATTTTGAATAGCCTTCTTTGTTTTCCTTTGTGAGATAACATTGGCTATTTTTAGTAATAAAAGTAAAACTTACTGAGTGTAGCCCTTTTAGAAGTACAGAAATGTATGAAGATTAAGGAGTAGAAGAGCCTTGGTAATTTCATTACCCATGTTGAGGCTCCACGAGGACCTTGGAGTCTTTGACCTGACACTTACCCCATGAGGTTTTCTTTGATCTGCCTCTTCTGTCTTTACAATTGCTCTTTCTGTCCTGTTCTCTCCCCTTTTGTGTGTGGGATTTGAGGCCACTGGTTTATGAGGAATATGGTTATAGTTTCTTTACACCAAAACGTGTTTTGCCATAGGAACACTACAGGACAATGACTCCACTGATTTGCCAATAGAATAGTGTTTATGGATCCCTACCCTGTAGTAAGATAATGCTTCCTTTCCTTCTAGGGCTTAAGAAAAGGTTAAATTCCTCACTCCTGAGAGATGTGGTAACAGTCGAGAGCTGTGGAGGAAGCAGTGGGGCTGAAACCAGGGTTGCCACCATGGCAAATAGGAATAAAAAGTGCTCAAATGTTTTATGGAACATACTTAAATTAAAAATAATTGTGGTTGATCTGAAATTCAGATGAACTGGGCATCCTATATTTTATGTGGCAAACTCTAGTGGAGGGCAAGGGATTGTGAAAAGAAAGGTGACCAGGGAGGGTGGCCTCATCTTGCTTCACTGGGTTCATATTCCTATGACTGGCCCTATTCATGTCAGTACTGAACCATTCTGGATTTAAGTCTGGCCCAATCCCTCCTCTCTCTGAAATGGCTACCCTATCTTGGTGATTCTGCTACCTAAAAACTCCTTATTCACCATTTCATCACCACTGTCCATTCAGGCCTTCACTGGTGGATCCTGGACCATTGAGATATTTCTTAGCCTCCAATATATTTTCTTCCAATTCATTTCTTCCTCATTTTTCTTGCCAAAAGAGTTCTTATCTAGTCAATTCCCCTTGGTTAAACCTTTCATAAAATTCCCATGCCCTTAGGCAAATCTCATTCTAGAAAATCTGCCCAGACCTTCCTGATTTGACCTTTACCCTCCTCTTTATTCTCATGTCAGGATTCTATTCACTTCTTTACATTCATCCTAAGCACTTCCCCACACCAATTATTGCAGTTAGTTGTGGTCTCACATTTTAGCCATTGGACATTTTTTAAAAATTCACCCCAGAAGCATTTTCTTCTCTACCAAGTGCCAAAAACTACACCTGCTGCTGAACCCATAGAAGTAAATAGATGTGATTCCTACTCTCATGAAAGTCTAGACCAGAATCTCAGCCCTCAAAGGCATCCATGTGTTGGGCCAGCTATACTGATACAAAGAATAGTGTAAAGCATGGATTTCTTGCTCTTCCCTATTCTTTTCATGTTTGACCACAGCTTATATGTAAAAACATTTTGCTTTTCCTTGAACTATGCTATTGGCATGCAAAAGCACAAGCTTGGTCATAAATGGCAGCTAACCTCAGCCTCACTGCTGGTGGCATGTCAGTCCATTCTGGCTGCTATAACAGAGCATCCTAGACCAGGCAATTTATAAACCATCAGAATTTCTTTCTCATCATTCTGGAAACAAGGAAGTTCAAGATCAGGGTGCCAGCTAATTTGGTGTCCAGTGAGGGAGTCTTCTTCCCGTGGAGCCTCACATGGCAGAAGGGATAGGCACTGTGTCCTCTCAGGGCTTCTTTTATGAGGGCGCTAATCTCATTCATTAGAGTTCCACCCTCACAATTGAGTCACCTCCTGAATGATCGTACTGGCAATGACATTTTAATATATAAATTTGGGAGGAAGGCATTCAGACCACTGCAGGGCACAGGAAGGAGTGGTAGACTGGGGCAAGTCTGTCCCTGCTTAAGGAGGCAATCACTTTTTAATTCCATCCATTGTTACCATGAAGGAATTTTAAGATAAATCAGAAGTCTAAATTTTAAGGTGAAAAATCTTCCTCATAGATCAGTAATTAAAAGATGGTGACAACTACAACAAACCCACAGAAGTCTGTAAGTCTGTATCCCTCGGTTTGCCTTTTCTCTTGGGCCTCTGATATAAGAACTCTATTCCACTTGTTCAGTTTGCTTTTCTCATCCTTTCATGTACGGGAACACTGCATTGTACCCTATAAATGTATATAATTATTATTTGTCAATTAAAATGCAGGGAACACCACAGGGAGCCTTTCTTTCTCCATCACAGCACTTATTCCACTGCATTATATTTGCACATTATATTGTCCCTTAGTCCGTAGTAACTGCCATGCAACCAGTAGTTCTGTCTCCATGTTAACTTCAGTCCTCACAGTGCAGGATGCCTGGAACATCATAGGTGCTTAGAAGTTAATGGTTGACAGAGGGAACAGGGCAGGACTGATGTTCGTGTGCTCCCTCATGCATAGGCACGAGCCTGCTTCATTTCCCCTGTTCCTTTAGTAATATGGCTGTGCGTTCCTTTGCAGAATTCTACCCCCTCGGCTTTTTCCTCATCTTCGTGCTCTGAGTTTGCCCAACCACCACCATTGCTATTGTGCTCCTCTCTCATGACACAGATGTGTGTGTGTGTGTGTGCATGCGCACATGTATGTGGTGTATTGGGGGTGGGTTAGGAGTTGAAGCCTACTTGCTCCTTGCCAGGAAAATCAGAATATGAATTAAAAGGAGATCCCTTGTGTGGAATCACAAATGCATTGACACTTTTTGCATAAGACCATCCTATATTCCTGTCTCACCAACTTAGAAAACATCAGTTTGCCCATTCTGTACCCAAAAGCAGCTGGCTCCATTGATGCTCCTTTGTATTCAGTGAAATGTACAAAACATTTTAATAACTAAAGACAATGCACTCAGAAGTTTATTACAATAAAAACTTCAGGTAAGACTTTGATATTATTCTAAGTCAATTCTTCAGAGTAATATTCTATTGTGTTTGTTTAGAGGCCAAATATGGTCTTCCGTCCATTGGCAGCCACAAGTCTATTCTTAGCCTCTCTGTTTCACACCTTGACCGATGGCTTTTGAACTTAATCTTTAATAATATGTTCTCTTGGTCTTTTGGCCTCCTTTACATCCAAGGAGTAGATGATTCACATTTAGTGTCTGGAAGAAAAGAGGGATGTCTTTGAATTAATAGTGTAGAAATTCCATGACAGCAGATATGAAGGGAAAACTCACTGATCACTATTTCAAAATGTTGTGTTATACCATGAAAGTGTATGTTCTATCTTACTTGCTTGTAAATCTGTTTAGGATTTTGATAAAATAATATCTCTAGGAAGTAGACTTTTAAAAATTCAAGTATGCTTGTTAAGCTGACCTGAAAAAATAAAATAAGTATTATATCTGGCATCATCCTTAGTTTGGAAAGTGCTTTTACATGGGAAGTTATCCTGTGAAACCTAGCCTGTGAAACTGGCAGGATGGATAATATTTTCTTCTGCCGCAGATAAAAACTCAAAGGGGTTGTATGACTTCTACAGAATTGCAAAATAAATAAATAAATAAATATCAAAGGATCCAGGCCTTTGGACTCTAGTCCAAGTCTCACTCTGCTACCTACTGGCTGCTTCTCCTTGATATGAAAGTGCTAAGGAGTCTCTGTCTCTGAGAAGGCTCAGGAGATGCCCACCTAGGTAAGAATGCCACCTGATATACCATCCTACATCCTATGTAAGTTGAGTTTTAGGCAGATGACCCACTCTCAGTGACTCTTCATGAAGAAGATTTCTTGGACACCTTTCCTACTATGGCTTATAGGACTGCTCAAATCTCTTCAGTATTTAATTAATTGGTTGATTCACCTGTCAACTATTTATTGATACCTAGTCCTGGATCAGGCTGTGGGGAATGAGCAGAGGAAGGAGGCTCATTTCTACTATGTGGCTAACAGCTGCGACCAGTGATAGAGGTGACTTTGTGGTGTTGTGGAAAGACAGGGGTGGGACCATTAACCAGAACCAGAGTCAGAATGCTTTCATGGAGTGAACTGAGCTGTTGATCAGGCCAAAGTAGGGGAAGGACATCTCAGCAGAAGGGTCAGCTTGAAGAAAGTCAGGGAAGGAAGCCCAAGATTGAGAAGGTCGATGTGACTGGAATTGAGTTTAGGGGGTGAGTGAAGGGAGAAGAACCATGGAAAATGGACAAAGGTCAGATCCTGAGAGTTCCTAGAACCTGGAATAGGTCTCACCTTTATGCTGCAGCTAGGGGTGGGTGAAGGGTCAGTCACATGGGGATGGTAATAAAGAGCATGATAATAGCAATTTAAAAAAATCCTTCTTACTCCAGTGTATCAGGTGAATATGAGGGAAATGAAACTTGTGGCTTATACCATCAGTTAGGAGATGAAGAAGGCCCAGATCTGAGTTCCTTCAGAGTTGGAGGATAAGGATGCATGAACTTCGAGGATACATTTTCCAGGTGGATAGAAGAGAATTGACATCAATAGAAATGGAGTGGATGTGGTGGTGTATAAGGGAGGAAAATTCTAGGTTCACCATCTCCTGGGGAAGAAGCAGGTTGTCAGGGTGGCCAGATATATCAAAGGGTCAGTGGCAGTGTTCAGTGGGGAGGAGGGAATAGTGATCCAGTATAGCAGAGATGGGGCAAGCAGAAATGCATACAGTGTTTCCATCCCTAGTGAGTTCACCTAGGGAAGCTCTTGCTATCTTCCACCACAGGGAGACCAATTTGAGCTCTAAGAGGGAATCTGGAGTAGCACTGAGGAGAGTGAAGGCGAGGAGGGTGTTCCCAGCTGTGCCCACACTGAAACAGACCTTCCTCTCATGAGCTTCAGGACTGCTAGGGAGCAAGGAAAGAAGAAGGAGAGGGAG